CCGGTGCTCCCGACCCCGGGTACACGGCCTGCAGTTCTAGGAAGCCCCGTCCTCGCCTCCGTGACCCTCCCAGGCATTTATCACCTCGCTCACAGACCAGCCGCCTGCCTGCTCCCGCCCAGCCAGCAGCTCTGTGCTGGGCTCCATCTCCCCTCGGGTCTGGTTCAGAATCCCGCAGTGTTCTGGGGGCTCGTTGGCAAACTCCCCTGAAAGCCCGTGCCCAGTTACGGTGTTTGATAGCCGGGCTTCGGGGTGAAGGGAGTGTCATGTTCTGGGACAGATGTTCTTTTTGTTGGCCTGCACGTGTGTACTTCTAGTTAGTGCTCTGCGGGGAGTACGTGAGCAGCAGCTGCCTCTCTCCCTCTTGCTGCCACAGGAGCAGAGCAGCAAGGGCCTGATCCGGAGAGGGGGTTTGCAGGCTCTTCTTGCGGAAAGAAAATGGTTTTCCAGTACTTTCTGGGTTAAGGCTGCGGTCTCTTTGGAGGGGTCCCTTTCCTGTGTGTGTGTTGAGCTTTTTCCAGTGCAGTTCCTTTACAGGGAACGGGCTGTTCAGGCCAGCAGTGTTCCTAGAAATCCGAGCGCTCTCCCGCCAGGCTCGCTGGGATGTGCTGGCTTCTTCCCCGGAGGGCGAGCGGAAAATGGTTTTCCAGTACTTTCTGGGTTAAGGCTGCGGTCTCTTTGGAGGGGTCCCTTTCCTGTGTGTGTGTTGAGCTTTTTCCAGTGCAGTTCCTTTACAGGGAACGGGCTGTTCAGGCCAGCAGTGTTCCTAGAAATCCGAGCGCTCTCCCGCCAGGCTCGCTGGGATGTGCTGGCTTCTTCCCCGGAGGGCGAGCGGGCTGCGGTCTGGGCAGCCTCCCACAGGCAGCAGTGACAGCCCCCGGAATAACAGGGGTTGCTTTCGCTGTGGCGCTGCTGCTGCTGCTTCCCACGGCGGCTGCGAAGGCGGCCCGGCCGAGATCTGACGGTGTTCTTGTCCCCCCCAGGTACCAGGATAATTTATGATCGTAAGTTTTTGATGGAGTGCCGCAATTCTCCGGTTGCCAAAACGCCACCTTCTGACCTTCCGGACATTCCAGGTGTTACCAGCCCAAATGTGGAGGAGCTGAAGATTGAGAACAACCACGTCCAAAACTGTGACGAGAAAGTGAGCGCAGGTGGGTGCCTGGAAAGAACCAGTGAGGAGCGCTGCGGGGTCCTGGGAACACCGGGGGGGACGCGTGGAACAGAGCCAGGAGACCCCTGTCAGCTGTGGTCAATGCTCTGTGACTTCTTGCACAACCAAAGTGGCCTTGGTGTTACGGGGCAGCCAGGCTCTCATGGTATGAGGTTCTGCTGTGGTCCCCAGTAGTGTGGGGGGGTTTTAATCAGTTAGTCAAGTGTAATTTGTTGGGAGGCTTAATGCTCGTTATTGTAGCATTTGAGAAGCTGCTGCTGGCTCGGTCTCCTGCGGAGCGAGGCCGGGAGCAGCTGCT